AAAGTGCCAGGTACATATTAAACACAAGCTAACTGAGAGCCGCCTCTAACTTACTGATAGTTCACTACAATTGGTCAACATTATCATAGTGTTAGGGCTAGAACCAAGGGCTCATTAACAGGCAAGTGTTCCTCCTTGAGCTGCATTCCTAGTCTGATTTTTTTTTTTGGTTCTTTTGTATTTGTGTGTGTGTGTGTGCGTGCGCGCACGCGTGCTTAGAAACATGTGCATGTGTGTGCATATTCATGTGGAAGCTGGAGGTCAATGCAAGATGCTTTCCTCAATCACTTTCCACCTTTGTTTTTGAACCTGGAGCTCCCCAGTGCAGCTTGACTGGCACAGCAAGCCCCATGCATCCTTCTATCTCTGCCTCCCCAGCACTGTGATTATATACACATACCACTGTAACCTGGCTTTTATATGGGTGCTGGGTATTGAGCTTAGGTCCTCAATGTTTGTGTGCAGGCACTATACAAACTGAGCCATCTCCCATTCACTCTTGCCAATATCTTAAAAGTTAGACTTTTGTCATGGGTTTTATTTACAGACTCCACTAGTGCTTCAGTCATAGATTGGTAGAAAACTGAATTACATTTGAGTCTTACAGGGCAAAGTCTGGTGTCTTTTATCCCCTGGCTTTCTTAGAAGCAAATGGCAGATGGTAACCAGAGTGTGGGCCCCTTCTGCCCCATCAGAAGACAGGCAGCTGCAGCTGCAGGGCAGAGCCCCAGGTTTCCACCTTCTGCTGTGTGGGCCTTTGTACCATGGATTCCAAGTGGATGGTGGCTCTCTGTGGGTAAGCAGGGATGCTGGGCAAATGCTGCAGATAGGCACTCAGCACAGGGCCAGAGGAAATCTCTAATCTGACTGACACAGGATGGATGGGTGGGAAGACTCTCCATCAGTGTCAGGAGTGATCTGAAGCACCTAGCAGGTCAGGTGAACTAAAATAAATTATTTACTGATCTCAGAATGTGAATACTTAAGAAGAGAGTGCTGTCTGATGCCCTGACTGTCGGGAAAGAATTCCTGTTGTTGCAAGTGTGTTTTGAGAGTTGAGGGGTTGTCATGTACTCTGTAAGGTGGGAGACTCAAATGTTAGACACTTGACCTACCTGGGAACAAACTTACTCATTACTCAAGGGCAGTTTATCTGACTGTCACAGAATTTCTTAGGAGTAACCAGTGAAGCTTCTGCTTTTGATGCCAAAGTTTGAGCTTAGCATCTAAGAGAAACAAACATTTTGACAGTTGTTTAGACACACCCCAGAGCCGAGTCTGTCCACCAGAGGGCACCATGTGCGCCACTGCAAGTATCCTGGAGCTGGGATCTCCCCAGCCTTACTTCAGAGAACTCCATTATGGAGAGGGACACGGGCAACACCAGCTTTATCCCTTTTTAGTCTCACAGGTATCTACTGTGGCTACAAGATTCGGAGAGGCATCTCCAAATCTGAGCAACTCAGTTTGGAGCAACTAGGAGAGGTGGCAAAAGGCAACATAGATAAGGACAAGCATCAGAGCTAGGCTAAGCTACTGTTTAGAATCAGCTTCTGTGGGCCAGATACTCCCTCACAACCCTAGAAGGAAAGTTTTTATAACACTGGCTTTATACATGGTAACAACTAAGGTGGAAGAGGGAGGGTGCCACTGCGGTACAGAGGGAGGAACCCAGGGCTGACTACAGAACCCTGCTCCTCCACAACAGACTCGTGTGGTCTTTCTGTCTTGGGATGAATCTCCAGGTCAGAATCAGGTAAATATAAGTTTGTCCTTTTGCCTTTGGAGAAGAATGGGAGGCAGGCCTGGGGTCTGTGGTCATTCCAGGCATTGCTTCTCACACTGCGGACAGAGCAGGGGGCCTCTGGAATATCCTGCTTGACCCTTGCCATGATGGCAGTTAGCAAGGATAGGATTTCCTAGAAAGAAGCCATCAGAAAAAGCAGACCCAGGGGCTGAGGAGGAAGCTCATTTGTTGTCTTCTGTACAAGCATAAATTTGACTCTCTGGAACCCATGTGAAAACTCTAAGTGTGGCAGCGCTGTATTCCTAGTGTTAGGAAGGTGGAAACAAAAGAATTTCTGGACTGCTGGAGACCACAGCCAAGTTGGCAAGCTCCAGATTAAATGAGAGATCCTGTCTCAAAACAGGGTAGAGGAACAGTTGAGGATGGGTTTGCCAGGTGTGGCCATCACAGCCAGCACATCAAATTCAGTAATGGTACCCCGATGCGTATCCTGGGCACCTGGCAGTTCAAGTGCTATCCAGACCCAGTGGAGATGTCTGTCTGTCCTTCCAAAGGCGTTGGTGGTGACCTCTTACAGTCCCCAGCTCTTCCTACAGTTCCTGTGCTGCTCGACAGGTGTGTGGTCGCAGCACTCATTGCTGGGGACTTCATCATGATACAAATGTGGGAGACTGACCTCCTCTCGAGTGTTCCACGTGGGCTAGATGCCTCAAATAACCTCAGGGCCTTCAGATACCAGCCTGTGTGAAAGTTAGAAGAGGATGCAGATCCCCTGGAATTGAATTTAAGATGGCTACAAGCCACAACATGGGTGTGGTCCTCTAGAAAAGCATGAATGATCTTAACCACTGAGCATCTCTCTAGCCTGAAAACAATATATGTATAGTACAAACACAGCAATTCATAACATGTAATAGTCTGCTCAGATCTGAGCTGAGGTGCCCATGTTGTTGGTGTGAGATGGTGTGACACATGAATACTGCAGAGTACAGATGGCATTCATAACCAACATGGCAAACCCCTCAGATTTATTACATCATGGTTTTTGAATCAGATCTTCTGAAATCTCCACATTCAGTTATGCAAACCCATGTGGGTCAGAGTCCACAGTGTAAGGAAGCAGAGCTCTAGGAAAATATAGCTCCTCCAGAAACCACTCATGCCAACAAGGCTGTCTGGAGCATTTGAGGGGAGGCTGTCTTAGGGTTTTATTGCTGTGGAGAGACACAATGACCACAGCAATTATTATAAGGAAACATTTAATTGGGGCTGACTTACATTTCTGAGGTCTACTTCATTATCATCATAGTGGGAAGCATGGTGGCACACCAGCAGACATGGTGCTGGAGAGGTAGCCGAGAGTTCTACATCTGGTTTTGCAGGCAGCAGAAGAGAGTGACACTGGGCCAAAGTTCGAGCATCTGAAACCTCAAAGCCAACCCCCAGTGATACACTTCCTTCAACAAGGCCACACTTTCTAACAGTATCACTTCCTATGGTGCCATTTGCATTCAAAGTACAGGCAGAAGGGGGTGGGGAGACACTGAACTGAGGACCTTGAGCAGGCTGGGAAAATGCTTTCATGCCAGTACTAGACACCTGCCTTCTTCCAGGGCAGCCTTTGCATTTTCTCTCTATGAGAGACATCAGAAACGAACACTCCTAGTTCGTACAGCACTCAGCAATTTTATGTTAAGTTTGTTGTTGAGATACGGTCTTACTATTTAGCTCTGGCTGAGCTCCTGGAACAGGGCAGAACCAAGGCTCAGAAAGACAGGGAACCTGGTTTAAGGTTACACGGCAGCTAGTGAGGGAGCCACAGCCTTAAGCCAGTTGAGGCTTAGCTGCCTATCTCTTAACCACGAAGCTGAACATTCAGTATATGGCAAGTTCCTGTCAACAAAACTAGAAAGGGGCCTGGGAAAATGACTCAGTTGGTAAAATGTGTGTGATAACAGCCTTGACTTCGGATTCCAAGAACTCAAGTAAAAGGCCAGTGGGGTGTCGGAGACAGGACCCTGGGACTTGCTGGTCAACCAGGCTAGCCAAATTGGTGAGCTCAGGGTTAGTCAGAGACGCTGTCTCGAAAGATAAGGTAGAGAGCAACTGAAGGAAGACACCTGAGCTCTACAGGTGGGCAGATCTGCACACACATATACATATTATGATAGAATACTAGCTTTTTGAAGCTAGATTCAAATTAATGACAATATCAGAGATTTTATTATAAGAAATATAAACTTAAGCCGGGCGGTGGTGGTGCACGCCTTTAATCCCAGCACTTGGGAGGCAGAGGCAGGTGAATCTCTGTGAGTTCGAGACCAGCCTGGTCTACAAGAGCTAGTTCCAGGACAGGCTCCAAAGCCACAGAGAAACCCTGTCTCGAAAAGCTTTAAAAAAAAAAAAAGAAATATAAACTTAGCAATGTTAGAATTAGATTCAATCTTTATCCCCTTGTGCAATAGGCAAACAAGGCTCTACAGGAGAGAGATATGGCAGGGTTACAAGTCAACTCCCTTGCTATGTGAGCGTGGTGCCCTCCCAGCTTCTCCTCTCCCCATGCATGAGATCTTTGTTAGTGGGCAGAAGATACGAGCTGGTCAGACCTGGGTTCCACATGACAGTACCACCAGCCTGTGTGAGTTGGTCATGAGGCTATCTCTGCCCTTCATCATCACCTCTGTCAAGTGGGATAGCAAAAACTGCCACCTTCTAGGCAGTAAAGAGTACGAGGGAAGCAGTGAGCAGTGATGCAGACACAGTGGACACCTAGATAATGCAGCCCTGATGATCTAGTAATATCATGTTGACGATTAAGGTAAATTTTCTATTCCTGTTAGGATTAAGTAAAAGCAGAAATCTAGTGCTTAATAAGAACAAATCAAGCTCAGACATTTGTTGAAACCAAGTATTGGATTTTTCTAGTGAGACCCAAATATAACCTCTAAGATCACTGTGAAGCTTCCTAAACATGGAAGCTATGAACTTGGAGAATAAGGACAGGTCTCCTGTAGGATCCCAAGAGGACCAGGACCAGAGGAGTCACGAAACTTCCCACAGGTCCATCAGTTTGCAGATAGTCTCAAGTGAGTTCTCTTTCAAAAAGAAGAAAAGACAGAGCCCTCGGATGGGAAAAGGACATGCTTTAAATTTCATTGTTTAACATTTCCTCAGAAAACAAATTATCTTTACTCATCCAGGTCACATAAAAGTTGCACGCCATTTCTTCCCCTGCATCTCCACACATACTCACCTAACTGCACATCAGTTGTGAACCGTAGTCTGTGGATCATGCTGACTTTGAATGACTTGTAATGGTGGCTGCTAAGCATATCCTGTACTGTAGCGATGTCAATTTGTGAATCCTCCTCAAAAACTCCGTCTGCCCTTGAACCTAGGGAGGAAAAAACAGTTTAACACATAAAGATACATGAGGCTTGGCAAATGGTGTCTGCTTAAAATGCTTTGGGATAAATTAAAATAATACGGGCTATTTAATTTGGAGGAGAAAAGGCTGAGCGATGACTTAATAATGCCATTCCAGTAAACAGAGAATGCTAACGTATTAATCATTCAACAGTTAATTCCACAAACACTGCCTATTCCAAGGCAGGCCCTTGGCTGGGCAGTGGGAGAAAAGAATGGCAGCATCCTGCTCACGCTCTCAGGCAGCGTGGTCTCCATTGCGTTGGTCAAAATCTGGGAGTGTGGTGATTATGGACATCACCCATGCTCCTTGAAGAACCCTGCCCCTTCCAAATCCCTAACCTGTCTGTCTGCTTAGCAGCCCTTGCCATGGTTGAGAGCTTCCCCTGCCTCAGGCAGGGGCCTTTCGCGGGCCTTCGGATTGCTGGGCTGCCTCTATGATCTGGTCACAAGACCTTCTGGTCACTCACACCATGTGACATGACATGGGTCACAAAGCCTGGTGCTCTACAGCGTTCTCTGGATCTCAGGCCCCTTCAGTGAAGTCCTTTCTACAGCCAGCAGTGAAAGCAGGCCGGCTTAAGTGACTGAAGAGTTTTCCAATCTCTTACCAGTCTTCATAATGCCTATCTCAGATCCTCCCAACCGCTGCAGACTGCTCCTAGGTTCGAGGTTCCATCAAGCAAAGGCAAACCAATGCCAGTTCCCAGAGTCTGAAGCGCAGTTGCTGGGTCTTGTTCGTGGCCTACACTACTCCTTCAGATACCTCAGAACAGCCAAAATCTTTCCCTTCCCCAGGCTAGCACAGACTTGACCACTTCCATGAAATCTATTTTAGTGGCTCTGACACACATCTACAATAGCTGGTATATACTGGATCAGAGCTGAGCAGACCTGGTTCAACTCCCATCTCATCTGCTGTATGATCTTAGGTGAGTGACTACCTCTGTGAATTTGTCTTTGACATTCATAGAACATCAAAATTCATGTAAAGAATCTAATATATAAAATGACTAACGGTATCCAGAGGGGCTCAGACTCAGCCTTGTTTTACAAGTGCTTGGTGGCTGCTTTGTCCTAATGTAAGAGTTTCACAAAGGCCAGGGAAGTTTCTTACTTATCTTTATGCTTTCTCCTGAGAACAGCACAGGCAAATGGTGTGCTCACACAAAACTTCTAAATCAATAATGGGCAGTGTGTTACCCGTGTCAGTCATGATGTCAAGTACTTTATTCAGGTTAAACCTCATGACAACATGGAGGGTTCTAGAATTTTCCATCTCAAACCGATGGGAAGTTAAGGCATATCCCAAGGCCACACTAAATAAAGGCAAACCACAGGCAAATGTCCAGAATTCCTTCAGACAGAGTTTGTGGGAGCAAAAGTACTAACTAGCTTTGGGTATCTTCACAGCCTGACAACTCCATGCTTTTCTTTGCCTTCAGGCCGACTTTTTAAATAAGTCTGTTTCTCTTCTTTTACACTGAACTCAGTTCTTAGCAGGTGTATGTTTTGTTTCCAAACACTATGGTCTTTCATATGAAAAATACAGCCCTGTGTTAGGCTGTTCCCATGGGAAGGATGTGACACACCTTGGACACAGTCCTATCTTAGACCATACTGCACATGTCCTCATCCTCCATGCTCAGAGCGCCCTGCTCCCTGTCCTTTCCACTCTCCTTCCTATTCCTTTTCAAAAGCCTGGTCAAATGAGGCTCCAAGAAGGGAGATTTTCCTGACTCCAAGCCCCCAAATCTAGTATGGCTCCTGACACTGCATCTCTATCTTCTATAGGCCAGTGTCCACCAAGTCATCACCTATCTCTGCCTCCAGACTGTAAGCCACAGGAGGGCAGTCACCATGATCGCGTTGTCCTCCTCACTGCTGTGCGAACAAGGCTGGAGCCTAGTGCAAGTGCAGTGTGCGGCAGTGACTTAACCAGTATCTTACTGTAGGACTGAGTGACGCGCCCACGGCAAGAGCCATTTGTGGACTGGTTTCATTCTTTGAAGCACCAGTGATTTGGGACAGATCATGGCCCTCAATGTCTCCTCGGAAATGTGACATCAGAATGAAAACTGGGAGGAAAGTTTAGCATAGTCTTTTACTTTGTCAAAACTACATCTTAATAGAAACATAACTGCCAAAAAGCATTCATTTCTATCTTAGGATTTTTATACATGAAAATTATAAAGAAAGCATTCTTTATTTCTTAAATATGAAAGTCCAATTCAGCCTTTTTTTTTTTTTCCTTACTGAGAACACCACATTAGATAGAGCTTAGCCCTGAGTTCTACAGCTTCTGGAACTGTAACTAATTGCTATTTTCTAAACATTGCAGGTATTTGATTTGGAAAGAGTAATAGCTTATTATGTTAAAATGCCAATTACCAAAATAAAACAACAACAACAAAACCCCATACTTAAGATTTTTACATTTTATGATGTTGGATTAAAACCAAGTTAAAAATTACTACACGTGACATACAATTTTTTACTGAGCAATTTCAATGCCAGCTGCTAATAAAGCATCTTAGCTGTAAATGATAATTCAGATGCTTTTAGATAAAGTGGTGCATAAATACGGCTGAAAATTGATTTAGTTTCTTGCAGAAGCTGCTGAAGAAGGACGCGTTCTGTTTAATACATCAGCTAATGTGTCCTAAAAGCTCAAACAAGTGCCAGTTTTCATGACTAACTTTACTGTGGGAGATTAATGAAAACTTTATATTTTGCTGAAATGTTAATAATGGGCAGATGGATTTTAGTTAGGGTCTTAAGCTATGGAATAACTAGCAAGGCTTATCAATTTCCTTCTATTAATTTTAGGCTTTCATAGCTGGAGCTGGTTCAACACTAATGCTTCACACATTGACCTTCTATTCTCTGCCAGGGTAAATTCACATCCCATTGAGGACTTAGGTTTCCTGATGCTTGAGTGAGTTCTAAGTCATGGCCCCTGTCAGGGGCATGCTGGCTCTTAAGATCAGGAAGGCACAGCATCAAGGGAACAGGGAAGGCGCTGTCCTGCATTCCCTCGTGTTCTGGCTGCTGAAACAGCAGCTCCGAGCCCCACGGACAGTTTTCAGGTGGGCCCAGGAGTGCCACTGAGTGTTGGGTTTATCTGTGTGTACATGTGTCTGTCTCACCCATCCAGCAGTGCAGAGTATGAGAAGTACTGGGAGGAACTTATGACCCAGCTACAGAACACAAAGGAACAGAACCAGTAGACAAGTCTGGTGTATTAACAGCATCTGCAGTAGGCACTTTATCTCAAGTGAGCTACCTGAAGCAAAGCACTGACCAGAAAAATGCAGTGGATTAGTGTGTAAATCTTGCGTGTCTGTACCTTGGAGAAGGTGGAACCCAACCACAGATGCAAGATACTTGGTATTATGTCATTTGCATATGGAAATCATTATTGTACTATCAACTTCACAGTAAAACACTACTTCTGTTCAAGATGACATTTTATGTTCTCAAAGTGAAAAGTAGAGAGAACCAGAATGTCTAAAAAAACAAACACACAAAAACCCTCCCTAAATCATTAATGTAATTGAAACATAACCCTTTAGTATTTTGTTAAATTAGCAATTAAAAAGGTCACAAGCAATTAAATAAGACAAAAGCCACACTGTGTTCATATACATTAAAGCTGAACCAGATCTCCTCATGAGTGACAAGATAAATTATAATGGTGTCTTCAAAGACTTCACAGTACACTCTGTCAAAGTCAGGAGTGTTAATGTCTCTATGTGCTCTGCATTACCATAATGTATTGTGTCAAAACGCTCACGGTGCAGTAACTCAGGGCTGAATGTGACAGCTCACACTCTGGGGTGGGTCTCAGTAGTGACTTGGGCACCAGAGCACAGATGGACTGACAGTAAGGCTCTGGAAGAGTGCACCTAGGAAGGATCTGGGTACAACATAGAATCTTAGAGGAAGCAGACTAATTCCCTGGAAGAAAATCAGGAGGACCACAGAATGGAGTCTGTTCCCTGACTCAGGGGAAGAAAGGCCAAACAGGCTGGGGTGAGAAACACAAAGGGAAGCAGAGGAGGCAATAATGGGACCAAGTCCAAGGTGACCCTAGTTCCTACAGTAAAGAAGAAAGAGTGGGTGCTGTGAAGACAGACCATGGCTATAAAGCCAGATGTACATTAACATCCTAGCTTTCGGCCACTCATTATGGATTTACAACACGTGGGATAGGATCACCAGACACTGGAGTCTGTGTGTTTCTTTGCCATTTTCATTCTTCCCCTCCTCTCAGGCTGTGCTAAAAGCTGTTCCTACATCTATCTGCATGCCCACCCCCTTGACCCCAGGACAAGAAAATGTGGCTAGAACAGTGAATTCAAACTCAGAGATCCCCCAAGTCTAGGTCTGGGCCAGTGGTGGGCACATCTACCTCCAAGCTCCCCTCAGGCCCCAAGGTCCTATACTGTTTTCATAGTAACAGTAAAACATCTTTTGCCTTTTACCCTATTCCCTTACAAGTGCACGTCGTAATAAGGAGTTCTGATTTCACGTTGCAATTAACCTTTAGGAAACTATCACTTGAATTTTGATATAAATGAAAATTAATACCAACGATTATGTGAAAAGGGTACGGAAATTCTCTCCTCTGTTTCAATAATGTATCTGTGTCAAGACAAATTTTCTTCCTATACTACAACCCAAACATATATTGTAACGAACTGAGTACAGAAGCAGATATGAAGACCTAGAATATTCTATTAGCCAGACAGAAATGTGCAAAAACATACAACAGGACTGAGCTCCAGCTCAGGTGGCTAAGCATGTGCAAGGCCCTGGGCACACAAAAACCAGGACGCCCTAGCACTGCATACACCAGGCATGGAAGTACACACCTGTAATCCTAGTAAATGGAGATCAAGATCAATACAAAAAGTTCAGGTCAGTCTGGGCTACAACACATGCTACCTCAGAGCTGGGGGCTGT